CCCCAAAACCCCAAAACCCCAAAACCCCAAAACCCCAAAACCCCATAAGGAAATTTCACATTGAAAATACTTATGGAATAAAATTTTTAATATTTTTCTATAAAAATTTGCAATGAACCACTTGAAGTCAATATTGATGCGGAAGAAGTGCATCGAAATAGCAGAGGAGGAAAGAAAGGGAACTTCTAGACCCTTAACTAGCAAGCAAGTTAGGCCCAGTAGTTCTATCAAATCAATCAATGAAGTTGCCTCTGGATATGACTTGAAGCATGACAACCCTCCTTTGGCGCTGTATTCCACCCCGAGAATGAAACAGGATATGCAGATAAAATAAACAATATCATTTTGAGCATATCACGAATAAGTCTATTTTTAGGAGCATTGAGAAAGAAACTGCTGAAGCTGAGAATGAGGCTTTAAGAGATACGATCGAACATATGACTCATCGAGGCACTCGTTTTACCAAGGAAGAACTTTGGACTGTCTTGGAATCTAATCGTAAAAGAGTTTATAAAAGACCAATGACGGCTACAAATCCTCACAAAAAGAGGAAGGAAGGCATTAACGTGTTCAGGAAGGATAGTGATGATACCCTTCCTAAGTCCCCTGCTAAAGAATCCCCAAAGAAAAGAGAGAAGAGATTTGAGGAAGAGGAGGTATACGTTAAAAACAAGATAACTGTTGATGACCCTGACCCTGTTAATGTTGTAAGTCTACTCTTCATGTTCACCTTCCTTGGATAGATCTAAGGCCTTGTTTAGGGGAGCCGTCGGAACAGCTTAACTTACAGTCAAGGTAAAACTTTTAGAGTAAAGAAGAGACCAAAGAGTAAAATTGTTAAAACCAGGAAGAGGCTACCAACAGCTAAAGCTAAGTTCAGAGTCAAAGTTGAGAGAAATGTAGATCCAAAAACTGTAATCTTCTGTAAGAACAATGAACGTCTCAAATTATCAACTATCGCTTGCCCAGATGAGAGGACAAATCGGATAAAGAGATTGGAAAGAAAACTTGACTATGAAATGCCTCTGATGGATAAAGGTCTCCAGCCAGGCTCTCAAAAATCTCTCTTCCCCACTAGGAAAACTGAGCAAGAATTCATGATCTTTAGAGAGATTTTTATTGAGCCAAAGGAGAGAGAACTTGAGAAGCTCAAAGAAAGAGCCAAACTTGAACGAGAGCAGTATGAGATTAAGCGAGCAATGAGAAAACCAAAGAAGAGAGTGCTAAAAACGGGGAAAGCCTGAAAATATTTTGAACTAGATCTTAAAAAGTTGAACACTAATCAGCACAATAAGAATAAATTCGAAGATCTTATTTCCAATTTCAAAAATCAATTGAAGGATCAAAAGGAGAGAGAAGATATTGTGGGAGATTGCTTAGTTGAAGGAAAGCAAGGACTTGAACTATACCTTAATAAGAATTATGAATCTGCTCTCTCTTGATTTACTAACTGCCTAAACATTGGTCACTCTTTGAAAAATTCAAGACTCAGACTAGACTGTCTGTTATGGATAGGATATACAATTAAGCTGTTACTTGATAACAAAGAGTATGCACCAGCATCTTTATTAGTACGTCAGAATAACCCTTTTGCACCCAAGAACACCAACTGAGAGAGTGAATTATTGACTATAGCTGTAGAATCTTTAGAGACAGCTTATGGAATTGCTAAGAAAGCGAAAGAAATTAAACTTGCACAAGAGTTGATGTGCAACCTTGGTGTCCTCAAAGGAAGCATGAGCATGTTAAGTTGTGCAGACAACCCGTTTGCAACACTTGCTAATACAGGTAATTTATAAATTTATTGATCACTTTAGAGTCCTTGTATAATTTTAATGAGGAAGATGATGAAGCGATCGAAGGAGAAGATGATAGTGAAGCTAAGCAAGTAAAAGCCCACACCAAATTTGATAATTTAATGAAAGAAATCCCATAATGAGGAGCATTTTTGTAGGAGGTAAATTTCTAAATCCAATTAAATATTCAACTTTTGCATAAAATTCGGGGTTTTGGGGTTTTGGGGTTTTGGGGTTTTGGGGTTTTGGGGTTTTGGGG